GTTGTTCAAGCATATTACACGACTCTGCCGGTGGTCTTTTCTAGGGTATTTGAGATTTAACTTTCTACTTGGAAGTCTCAAGCTCTTTTTTATACTAAAGTCATTACTTTAGTTTTGATAGTGGGTCATTCGGCAGTTTGATGCATCTTGATCAGATCGTGAAGTATGAACTCCATAACTATAGTTTAGTATAAGGGTTATATGTACTCCATACTGTCTGATGTCTAATACTTAAAACTTTAACTTAGAGGGCATCTGGCTAGCTCGGCATCCTTTTGCCATCAGCTGCCGGTTGTGGAGCCTCGCTCTTTCTCAATGGGGAAATAAGAAAGCAAATTGGATGAGGGAGATTGTTTTCTCTTTACACTTGTAGGTTTCTTGGAACTATTATGATCCATATTATAACATATGGTGTACAATTTGGTCTTGGTAAGGAATATATTGATGTCGTTATGTATGAGGTAGACTCGGAAGAGAAGGCAAATATCCATACAGTTATACTAAGAATGTCTTGTTTCATATTCTAACCAGAAGCGCGGAAGTAACAGAACAAAGAATTCAAATTGTAATAACTACATGATTTCAATGGTTTCTATTATCACGGTACTCCAATACTAAATCCCTAAAGCCCTAGACTCGGGAGGTGCATGTGAGTCACCGTATTTTATAATACCTACGATGTATGAATCTTTCCATGTACAATTCTAGAATACCGTTTTCAAACAAGTCGCACAAAATCAGACACGAGCCGTAGCGCTGGGACTTTCAGTGATCCCTGCCGTCCTTCTGACCACATGGGCGTGTGGGATTAGTGTGTGACACGCCTTAAATATTACTGGAAATTACAGGATGAATTCGTTCATTTCCACCCGATCGGCTGGTTTGACACGAGGATCACGGGATATCCTCGATATACGAGGTGGATGCCCAGTAGAGAACTATACCTTCTTCCTATGTGAGTTATTCGCCTCTTTCCTCCTGATACGGACCTTGAAAACTAGTCCATTGTTCAATGCACAAGCGCGATCGGGCAGAGCGCACCCACTAATCATCCCCCGAAACGGAATAAATAGACGATCATGATGGATCATGATTCCACTCTCTCTGAGGCTGACAACATTGTTTCCACTCTCCACATGTTATAGGCACACGTCATCTGATATTATCTTCAAACCACATAACATAATAAGCATGATTTGCCCTGACATGATTATTGACCACATCAACTGTTGTACGAATACACCACCCAGGTCTAGACTGAACCAATAAGACGCCGACTTCCAATCTTATAATGTTGGTGGGAATCTGACAGTAAAAGCAATATTCAAGCAGCCAATAGACAATCGGTAATCAGAGTCAGGGGCAGACGCCGGGGTTATTCCGTTGGAGAGAGCCAGGCCCTAAAAACAGTCTTCGGGGTTGTGGACGGATTAGGGAGGTAGTACCATTGCGCTCGTCCTTTCCCCATGATCTCTGTGCAAGGCTGTATGTAGGGACTTGTGCTTGTGGCACGGTGCATAGTGGTACTGAGTATTTGGTGCATGTGTAGACGCACATGCAACGCACATCTCGCTTCATTGTACGTTTTCTGGTCTACAGTCTAGAAGAAATAGAATTTGTGAAGGATGTTTCAGATAAGAGTATCAACGTTATATGTTTAATATCTTCTATGGAGTAGTAGATAGTTAATATAGAGTAAATATCTGTAGTTTCGCCGAGCCGCCGAAGTTGAAGCTACAATCCCCCGAGACCATAAGCCGGTGGTCCAAACCGGATCTTCGTCGACGCCAAGTTTCCTAATGATGATCGCCCCTTAGTGCACAACCCTTGAAAGTTGCGGGATTTCTTAGTCTGATCCAAAGGAAGCATAGTACGAACGCCACCGGAACTAGTATGATGAGTTATTTCTGTTTTCTTTTTTTTCTTCTTCAAGGTGCGTGCATTTGCCTATTATTACCTGTGCATCCCTTGTGCTTCCTATATATGCTATGCCTCTTTTTCAATATCGGCGCCGAACCCTAGTAAAATTTTTTTAAAAAAAAAAATCCATTTTCTTCACGGTGAAACTTTACTTGACAGTTGCTTATTCAACCGTTCAAGCGTCTAACAAATTCCCCACTTGAAGGTTAATACATAAACAATATGGATCAGAATCCTTCTCTGGTATGGGTTGAATAATGTAAGAGATCGACGGGAAAAGTAAGGATCTAGGTAAACTTCGATCTCTAATTCCCAAGCCACATGTAAAAAAAAAAAGTATCTCGGAGGTTATGATATGATTTGTTCAGACATTTGTGGGGTAATTAGATTTCCCGTATTCCCATATATTGGGTACCTTTGTTAGCCTATCCGCCAACGCTAACTATCTTTCAAACTCGTAATCGGAGTCGAGTCGTGGACTCCCCGCGCTTAGATCCTTTGTGATGGGCTGTGCAGAAGACCTAGGTAATATCCAGAACTTTTAAATATGTTAAAATCGAATTTAGTTCGGTGTGCTCCCGATTTTCTGGTTCTCGGACTTCGGCGATTATACTATTCTTGATACCTCACATTTACTTACGTACTTAGTTACGTTATTTTATTTTATTTTTATAGTTAAATTCTTATATCGCGTCTGTTATAGTAAATTTGTTAGATACCTGACATCTGTCATTCGCGCCAATTAAGTTTCAACAAGCGTGCGTCAACCAGTCCTCTGGGACTAGGATCGTGACTTTAAATACGGAGCACTGTCCTCCGATTATCTAACCCAATTCTATAATTCTAGTGTACTACCTAGGTACCTACATCGTGAAATAATCTCAAAATTTGCTCAATCTCCCTCTCTAACCAAACCGCCGATCCCCAAATCCTTAGCTCTTTTAGCTCCATGGCTGGGGTGCATAGCCAGGCATGTCAATGGCTTGGCTGAGACTAGATGGTCTATGAGAACTTGAGAGCGTGGCAGTGCAGTGTGGCCTGGATCTGCTGAGGATCTCCCGCGAAAGTTTTAGACCATCCAATCGAACCCCAGTCATGGTTTCTCAATAGTATAGCTGGTTAGTGACTGGTGGTTTGGTTAGGTACGGGACCCTCTTCCCCTCCTAAGAGAAAGCCAGAAAGTAAAGTGAAGTTACCGAAAACTCTCTACCCCCGGAACCCTAACCTTCTTTTGTTTTCTTATCTGAAGACGCGTGTCCCGGTTCTACATATCCGTTCATGCTGATTGGGATGCTTAGGGTTATGATTGTTTTATACTCGTTACACATTGTGCATCATATGTAGATTGTATACTGAATTGATAGGGTCAAGGCGGAGATCTACCTGGAACCGCGCTCAGTCCTCTTAGGGATTCTCTTTAGGGGGAATTCCACAGACCGTCAAAATGGGAGACCAGTCATGAAGCAGCAAAATCCCAAGTATAACAGTCACCGATACCCGGACCCGGAGAAAAGAAAGAAAAAAAAAAAAAAAAGCCCCCCAAAAAAGAATATAATAATCATTACAAGTCTGGAATTTGACCCGCGTCTGACTGGCTCCAGACCGTGGAGGATCTCATCCTTGACTACCGTTGGATGATCATGACCCATCCGGAGTTCGAGGTGGAGGTCATTTTTTTTCAATAGCTCGGTGTGCACTGTCCATCGAGAGATTACTCCGTACCTCCCGTAAGATGATATGACGCCCTTCGGAGGATTGGTATCCTCTGTTCCTAAGGTTAAACTGTCTCAGTCGATCCTTTCTCTTATGGGGCGTCAGATGGGAAAAGTGGGGGTAAAGTAGGCGAAAGAACGAATGATATGTGTACGCTGTGACTACTGGGGCTATTGGAGCTATTGGTCACAGCCCCGGGAGTCTTCCATGACTTCTTTGTGATCTTGGTCCTCTCTTTTTTTCCAAATAGGGCAGGTGAGTGCTGAGTCAGAAAGGTAGATTTTGGTATCTTGTCCGTCATTCAATGTGAGGATCTACTTGTGGCTACCTTGAATTTTTGGTTATAAGATGTCACGGAGACCCTCCGATCCAAATCCACGGCTCCACCAGGATCACCCATGGCACGGGGAGTGATTATATCTTGACCTGCTCTATTCTTTCTTCTTCTTCTTTGAATATAGTTTGAATATATATAAAATAGTTTGTATCTATTATTGTCTATTGAAAAGACTGTATTATATCCCTGAAGAAACTCTTCAATAAAAGTGAAACTGTACCTGCTTCTTGCGGAGGGTTTGGTGAAATCATGACTTTGATGTTTCATTCTCCGTATTTCTCCGCTCCCCCGAATTCCACCGTTCTTTTTTATTATTTTATTATCCATTTATTTTCCATTTTCTGGATCGAACTATACCAGATACAGAAAATGGCAAATAAATCGAAAAATAAAAAATAAATCGAAATAAAAATAATATCAAAAAATAATTAAAATGCCCCCCAAAAAAACATAATATCGCATGTCATATCTGTCATCGATACACTCCAGGCCTCAGCGTTCTCTTCCCTCCGAGTTTTCAACATTAAACCCATTAGACTCCCGGGTGACCATACCATACTTCATAAAATAAAATAAAAGAAGGTAAAATAGAATAAAAGAATAAAGGTAATCAAAAAAAAAAAAGAAAAATCATCTATATGTGGAGATATCACTCAGACCTCCTTTAGTACTTCCCCCCCCCTCTCTCTCTCTCTTTTACTTTAACTAGCCAGGGTCCCCAATTTAGGTACATAGTTATTCCTTTCCTTTTTCCTTTTCAGTGGATCAAAAAAAAAGAAAGCTTGGGAATTGCCGCAACTCAAACCGTGGAACGGGTTTCTAGTAGATCCCCATCTTTTTTCGCCCAAGTGCAACCTTGAGACTTGAGAAGGCCCGTGCTGGCCGATCCCTGGGAATTCTCCAACTGAGGGGTCCCAACTCAAAACCTCCTCCTTCTCCATACCCTGGTCGATCTAGCTTAATTCTTTTTTTGAATATATCTGCAAAAAGCCCGGGGGGTTGGGATATCTTCATTTCACATTCTAACATCATGGTGAACGGGACCGCCGCCGTGTTGGAACCCACATTCACCGGGTATGTCGCAACTACTCAAGATGCCTTGGTACTCTTCGAAGCATGTTTGACTGGTGTCTTGCATCACGTTCCACGCCGTCCTCACGATCGAGAACGGAGTCATCTCGTGCGCAGTGGTAGTGTCTTCATCTATGAGGAGAATGCCTCGGGTATCAAACGATGGACCGACGGTGTCACCTGGAGTCCGAGTCGCATTCTGGGGAATTTCCTCGTTTACCGTGAGCTAGACAAGCCATTTCCTCCTGGGGAGAAGAAGCGCGCCATGAAGAAAGCTACTCGACGACCAGTGCCAGCCGGCCGGCCAGGCGAACCTTATCCGCGGCACGATAGCAGTCAGGGCTATTCTCCGACATCTCCCAACTCAGCCCCCTTCACAGACCGTTCGTCCCAACAATCGGAGCTCGAACGGGCATTGGTTGGGTCCCTGGTTGATTCCTACGGCTTCAAGGACTCGGGATTAGTCAAGAAGACGATGAGCGTGACGGTCTTGGGCGTGACCCACCATTTGGTCTCGTACTATAGTGTGGAGGACGTGATGCGCGGGATCCTTAACCCACCCTCGATGTCGGACGCGCTACGCTTTATTCGACCACGCACCGAACTCACCCAGAAACAGAGCTTCCGTTCTCCGATCGACGAGCTCGAGGCCAACGCCGTGGAAAACCAAGAGCCCTCCCACGCCGCTCTATACGGATATCGCCCGCAGATGATGGCTCCACCCACTTACCCTATGCCAAACCCTTCCAACGACTTCTATATGCACCCCAGCTCGTATGCTGCCTCACATCCCCCACAGCAAGGCCCGATCCAGGGATACACGATGGCCGCGCCGATGGCCCAAGCTGCGCCAAATCAATACCTGCCAAACCCGGGGCAATCCATTCCCCCAAAGCAGGAAGACTACCACTCATTCCGCGCAGGGCCCTACGGCGGCAGCATGGACTCGATGAGCGGGCACAGCATGGCCTCGATCCCTGGCGGCCTCAATACGGGACTCCCCAGTTCGATCAGCGAGCGCAACAGATCCACCTCGGAACACAGCCCTTCCGCATACCGCAACTCTTCCATCTCTTCGCGTAGTCAAGCAACAGACGCTACTTCACCCATGGATCCATCCACCCCAGCCACCTACTCCCGCGGCAGCTTCAGCATGTCCGGCCAGCTGGATAACCACCCATCACTCGACCGCAATATGCCCGGTCTCGATCCTAGCGTGCCTCGTCGCGAATCAAACCCTATTCATCCGGCCTACTATACGGATCGCTCCCAGTACTATGTACCCGCGTCTTACGCTGCCACGCAACCCATGTCGACATGGACCACTACGGCAGCGACGCAACCGCAAATGGCACAACCACAAATCTAATCTATTGATACCTTTCCGTGTGTTTGGTTGCTTATGGCCATGGGAGCGTGGGAGTCAGGGCGGAATTTTGTTTATTCTTTTTATTTGTTTATCAAGTTGCTTTTTGCTTTTACCTGGAGATAGACCCCCTACGCTTTCTGTTCTGTTATTTCTGGGAGGAAAACGCCGTTTTATTGCTACAATATGTACCTGACAGCGGCTGTACTCGTCTCTTGTCTCTTGTCTATATGGTTATGGTCACTTTGCTCTATCGGTCTGTTACGGAGGCTCTTTGAACTGTTTTGCTTTTACCCTTTTGCTAATTTCTTTTCGGTCGGCTCTGTGATATGATTCTGTTCTGGGAATCCGGGTGGTGGCGTTCTTTTATTCTTTACGATGTCATGCAACAACAACCCAACCCCAAAACGGTTCTACTTTTTTATTACTTCTTCTTACCTTTGGACACTGACTCCTACTTTTTACTTGCTCTCCAATTCTCTATATCTCTATTCGCTGCCAAGGCCGCTGTATCTTTGTCGCGGTCACCGAACAGTGTCCAATTTCTTTTCCAAGGTCTAGGCGGTTTCCTCTTCTCTGTTCTCTATATGTTCTATCCAGGAGCAGCTTTTAGTGATTCCCATCTCATTCCATCAAAGATTGCTTCGATGTGTCCTTTTTTCCTTCTTTTGGTGCTGGTGCTGGTCATGGCTATCAATACGTTCGTGTACTTCATACTCTATTCCCCACAGTCTATCGTATGGACTATAGGCTCTGTGCTCCAGGGGTGGCTTTTTGATATTTCAATTCCCCAATGCCAATATTAGCTGCTTCGGCATGATAAAAGATTTGTTGCTTTTTTTACTTTTATATTTTTCTATTGATATATTCTATACTTTATACTCTGCTGCCTCTATCATTCCTGATTTGTGACTTAGCTGATATGGCAGACGCGATATGTGTTATGAGATTAAGATGGATGTGGTCAAATTAGTATATTCTGTCTTCCCCTTCTTCTGCTATTTAGCTAGGGTTATTATCAGCTGCCTTCTAGTAGATTATGAGACATCTCTTCTTTTCTGAGGTTGCTTGCCTATTAAACTATTTATATTCTTGCGTTATCGGCATTCAATGGTGTTATGCATATATTTTTTATCGAAGTATATGTAGCTTGGCCTTTTTTGGTATAACTCTCTTCAAACCACATATATAGTCTATTTGGACAGTGTAGTGATTAGAAGGAATAAGAATACAGAACTATATCACCTACATGTATATGCCACTCATTCTGATTACAATTTCCTACTATTGAGAAAATATAACAAGGAAAATCATAAGCACTATTTATACACTATCAGCATCTCGAACACTAACAGATCAGACGTACCCGGAACTCATATATCGACAATGGGTCTTTCAATCAGACATATACTCGAACGAACATTAGCAAAACATAAACAAGTAAACACATAGAGACTCGCCATAGCAAAAAGGTAAATATCCCAAACATATACACTCCAACCTTTGACTTTGGTCCAAAGCAAACTAAAAGACAAGGATGATACAAAACTAATCAGCAACACAAAAAAGAATCAAGACTCATCAAAGCAGAAAAAGGATGCATATCTCACACCATCTGATCCAGACAACCAGACCAAATGAAAGTCCCGAGGACCACTCAAAAAACAAGAAGAAACTCCTACATCAGCGGGTGATTACCCATACTCATACCTCTCCGATGCCTCCCACTAGCACGCACCCGTCTAGCCCCAGACGAAGCGCCAACCGAATCTCGCCTCGTAACGCGTCTCGGCAAACGGCGCAACGTCTGATACTCATCACCAGAGCCACCGCCCTCCTCAATCTCCGAAAGAGTGCGGCCCCACCGCGAACTCGCGCCCGTATGTGGGATCATCGAGTCTGTTGGGCTGGGAGAGGAGTATGTGGAGTTGTTTGATGCCCCGCTCGCCGCGCATAGAGGGAATTCCCGCGCGGACGTGCGTCGTAGACTTGGGGTGCGACGTGGGGCCAGGGGGAGGGGCCTGGGCTTGTCCGGGTGGGGTTTGTGGTGGTGGTTGGGTCGAGGAGAAGGTGGAGGTTGAGGGGGATGGTTATGGCGGTTTGGGGGGAGGAATGGCCTTGGCTTTGTGTCTGGGGGAATACCTGCTGGCGGAATTGAGGTTCTTCCCCCCTTGGCTGGGTGGTCCAGAGGTTTTGTAGGGTTGACTGCAGGAGGTTGTTCTGTAGGGAGAGGCTGTTGTTCTGCAGGGCTAGGTTGTGGGTCTGCAGTTGTTGTTGATATGGGATTGGGTTGAGAGGCCCGTATTGGCCTGGGTAGGTGCCCTGAAAGTGATTGTCAGGGATGCCGGTCTCAGGTGGGATTTGGATCTGAGAGAAGTATCTATTAGTTTCGGCTCACTTCATATGCAGTGAGAGATCAATTCATCTCTTTATTGGTGGGCATACCTGACGGCTGAACTTCCTTCCTGGCATGGCGATGTACTCATCGAACATGTTCCCGAGTTCGGCAAAGTTGAACCCGCGTACCGGGTCAGCGGGCTCAAATTGCTGTCCAACTTCTTGTTGGAAATTGACGCCTCGGCGCGGCAAAGGTTGGTACTCGGGCAGTTTGAGCATCAATGATGGGTAGCTGCCAATCATTGCGTCGATAACAGGGTCGACGTCGATCGAGAGGGAAATCTTGCTGTTTGCCGCAGGTTTCTGGATCAACATGACAAACGTGAACTCGCGCGGTAGACCGGATCTCTGGACATTGTTCTCTTCCATGGACCAGACGACTTTCCCAGCTTCAACATCGAATTTGCGGCCAGATGGATTTTTCAAAGTACGGGCGGAGCCTTGAATGCGCATCATCTCATACCGCTTATACCGACCATTGACACTCCCCGAGGGAATGACGCTTGCGCTGACAGGAAGTTCCGCGATTCCGAGAGACCCAGCTAGACTGAATGTCCACTCCATTGTCTCCGGGGAAACAGTGCCATAGAGCAGGTGCGGTGCATGCATAAGAAAGCGTGGGTTACCGGGCGGATATCCATAAGAATACAACTTTGAACTTGAAAGATCACGGTTTCCACGAACTGACACACTAATGGTGGCGGACTTTATGCGGTGTGTGATAGTGTGTGGCGAATGAAAGGTGAATGCGATAGCAAGAAAATCTACGTGTTCGGCGTCCTCGTCCGAGACGGCATTGCTGGAGTAATAACCATGCTGAAGACGCTGGACGTGCGCGGTGATATAAGCATCGCCGGGAAGTCGGCGCTCATAGATGAGAGCACGGTTGATAAGCAGACGTGGATTCGCCATGTTTGGATCTGGTTGTTCCGTTTCTTTGACTGGTGGTACACTGCAGATTGGAGTTAACGAGCGTGAGTCCGAGACACGCCTGTTTGGGACAGAAGTAAGCGGCATCGTGGCGACCGCAAAGCGACAAGGCCGCAGTTTCGTTCTGGTAGCCTTGTCTGGCTCTTCATCTAGCTGCAGGGCTCCTTCTAGACACGGACGGCTGCCTTTGTAATTTGACTTGGCCTGCGTGATACTGTCCTATATATGATTTTAGCTGGCTACTCAAACATGAGTTCCAACATTCTTCTTCGATGATGCTTTTCATCACCTGGGGTTCTTGGTCACAGGAGTGGTAAAGCCTGTCAGGTGAGCATAGGCTTGATCATGATCATCGTGATGTAATTCCTGGGATTGGGGATCTAGAGCTGATATTGTCATTTTCAAGGATATGCGATACAATAAGGATAGAGGTGCTGTCATATTTTTTTCTATGTACAAAAGTAGGAGAAGTATAAGAAAGGTAGTGTGTTGCATGTGGAGGATATAGAGGCGGGCGGATAAACCATTTCTCCGACCAGAAACTCATCGCCGAGGTGCAATCTCCAATGTTCATCTAACCTCAGGCGACCGTGATCTAGAACTTGTTGGTTCTAGCTCATTGAATTTCTGGTAGAGGTGATCTATATTCTGAATTCTCTTATATATATGTCCGGCTCAGCCAAGTTGCCCCGAATTCCGAGACATCCAGCTAACAATCCCTAGATTGTGTTTGTACTATATAGCATTCTGTCTTTTTATTTGCATTGCTTGCGCTATCAGCTTGTTCCTCTATTTTATTTTGATTTGGGGTCTGTATTTGCAGGCTTGTCAACGACTGTGCGACGCGACACCCTCCGTTGGTCTGTCTCCTGGCGTATCACTTGGACCGAATCACCATTTCATAGCCTGAAACCAACCGGGTATGCACAGTTGAAGCTCCTGGACAAAAGCTTGTGATTCTTGGTGTCTCTCGTTAACTCTGGGCTTTTACCAACGCCTGCCGTCATCACTTTTGTGTTCGTGTTACCATGATTGGCTCATGCGCAGCCCAGTTGTCCCTTCGGGCAAGCCGGCAGGGATCTCAAGTGTTGTTTAAGAACGCACATCTTTCTGTTAGGTCAAATGTGTTCAATACTGAAGCTCTTCAGAGAAATGGATTCCGGTGTTTATCTACATCAGTCCAGTCGACATTGAACCGATTACCAACCGGGTATGGCCGTCTGCTGCTTCTTCGTTTATGCAGTTCTAACTTTTCACCAGAGGATTGAAACCCCGCTGTCTGCAGACCACCCTGATCTCACCATCATTCTTCACCCAGCAAAGATGGTCCGGGTCAAAATCGCCAGAAAACAAAACTCCTGAACAGTAGGTCTACAGCCTCCAAGCCGAGATACCCAGTGTCCAAATGGGACATAGGTCAAGTGAGCCATCAACTAACCCAGGGTAGACCCGATGAATCCAAGAAAAAGCCTATTCTATCGCGGATTCCCCTGCCAACCTCCCACGAGAATATCTACACTGTACCCAACATTCTCACACTCTCCCGGCTGGTCGCCGCCCCTGTCGTCGGCTATCTCTTAGTCAACAACTACCACACAGCAGCACTATCCCTGTTCGCCTACGCGGGCATTACTGATCTCGTCGATGGCTGGATCGCCCGGCGGTACAACCTCCAAACTGTGGTTGGAACCATCATTGATCCCATGGCCGATAAGCTATTGATGACCATTGGTGTCGCGTGTCTGGCCGTGAATGGCTCTCTTCCTGGTAAGTCTACTCTTGTTGATCACTTGGTATACGGACATGGACATGGATTGACGCATTAAATAAATAGTGTGGCTCGCTGTGATCATCCTCGGTCGCGATGTTGGTCTGGCTATCTCGGCTATCTATTACCGTTGGATTTCCCTGCCTGAGCCTAAGACTATGGCCCGGTACTGGGATTTTTCGCTTCCCTCAGCAGAAGTCAAGCCCACCGAGATCTCGAAGATCAACACTGCTCTGCAGCTGGTGCTGGTGGGTAGTGCAATTGCGCTGCCTGTGGTGCCTGGGGCATTTGTCAGTGCCTGGCATTTGAGCGAGGCTATGACTGGATTCCAGTAAGTTTGATTTTTTCTTGTTTTATACCCTTTTTTTTCTTTTTTTCCCCCTTTGTCTTTTTCCTTGTACCTGGAAGGCCTGAATGGTCCACCCTAAGGCAAATTGAGGCTCCTTCCAGTACATACGACCATAGGGTGTGGAAAACAGGGCTTCCCGTCCGCTCAGCCGTACTTAAGCCACACGCCGGTGAGTTAGTAGTTGGGTGGGTGACCACCAGCGAATCCTCACTGTTGTATGTTTTTTTGCTTTTTTTCTCGCTTTGCATTATTCGCTTGCTATCTGTTTATGATTAGTTTTTTTTTTGCTGACCAATTTTAGGTACCTTGTTGCGGGCACCACTCTCTGGTCTGGACTCAGCTATGTCTTCTCCAACAACGCCGTGAAGATTCTCTCAAAAGAAGAAATTCAGAAGCGTATCGCTCAAGCAGCTGCTAAGCGCAAGTAGCGATCAAAAATAAGGCCGAGGTAGAAAGAAGTTTTCCTGTACAATATCTCATAATTCAAATGTTGGATTATGCCAAGAGTCAGACCGTATTGTTCCAACGGGGATTGTGCATATGCTTGAATCATGAACCACATGGATACCGAAAAGTAGGTGTAGCGTAGCCTGCATGACATGTGATATATCAAACATGACAACGTGGAGGTGTCTAGTTTGATAGCAGTTTACCAGGGAACCCTTCACATGTTGTGAAGATTGGCATTTGAGAAAAAATATAATCCATATATAAGATGCCTACGTATGTAAATATATAAGGAGTAGAATATAAAAGAATACGCCGGCGGGACCGTGCATCAGGCATCAGCCAAGTTCTCAGACCAAGGCCCCGATATATGATAGATTCTCAGATTACCAAGATCTCGTCCGTCGGGCTCCTTTTTAGGCCGAGTGGATCCTGGGATCTTATAAGTCGCCGAACTGCATGTGTTTTAGATGGCTGAATTAGGTAGGCGGGCCGATAAAGAACGGCGTTATGTATGTGGCACAGACCTATTCCACATTCTTTATATCCAATGAGATATGGCATCTTCGAAAAAGTAGTATTCGTAAGCAAGATTGTTAATCCATGGATTATATATTAGCCCCATTATATATCCATATATACAAAAAAAAGCCCGGGAATATAAAAGCCCCCACGTGCTTGCATAAGCCTCCAAAGGCTGATAACCTTGGAATGGATACTTTGATGACAAGTGAAATAGCCAATGAAATGTTAGTAAATGTCCGTGAACAGCCAATAACAACCATATCAGCTAAAGCCCGACTTTATCTCCGTACTTGAAACCAGAAAATTCTTGTGATTCACCCTGACTCATGTAGTCCACCTACTCCACTATAGCTCTTTTAAGTCTCGATTATGGATTATTATCTCATTTATGATTCGATGTTCGATTTTAGTTCCAGGGCCTCATTATCCCTTTTTAGCGACTGACAAATGCCCGGAGTTAAGGTGAATATTCTGATATTTTCTCATATAAACGGCGTTTAGGTCTATCTTTTTTTTCTTTCTGAATTTTTTCTTTATATTCCTCTTTGTTCTACTTTCTCTTTTTTAATTATATTATCTACCCCCTTAATTAGCCTGGCTATAACATAAATACACTTCCTATCTGCCATTGAATGCCGGAGAGTAAATCCTATCCGAGCCTCAATATGGAGGGCCATTCCGAACAGTCGCATGTCTCGGATTCCCAAGCCTATACACAAAACTCCAGGCAACAACCCACCTCAAATGGCGAGACCTACCACCATGATGTGACCTCGGAACAACCCGCCGAAGAAATCATCAGGACCACCGAATCTCCCATCAACCCAACTTTAACCGACAGCTCAACCATCAGCTCGTCGGTAAGTGGAGATGATGGCCGCTGGGGAGAAGAGAAGGCCGGAAAGGCCGTCTCTCGCAGCGGCGCTATGGAAGACATGGAAGAGATGCGCCGCGAACTCACCCGCCTCAGTCTGCACCGCACTCGCTCTGCAACTAAGAGCGTTCGTCGCCACAAATCGCAGGCCAGCCGCCGCGATGAAGAAAAGGCCATGGATGAAGAAGACACTGAGGGCGAGGCTGATGACAGCTTCGATCTGGGTGAGTTCTTGACCGGCGGTCATCTGGAGCGCCGCACAACCGCCGGCGGACCTGCCAAGAAGGTCGGCGTCGTCTTCAAGAACCTTACCGTGCAGGGCATCGAGACTGGCGCATCCTTTGTGCGCACTCTCCCCCAGGCTGTGATGGGTACTTTCGGTCCGGATTTGTACAATCTCGTCTGCCAGTTCGTGCCGCAGTTGCGGTTCGGCAAGCATCCTCCCGTTCGCGATCTCATCCATGATTTCAGCGGTGCTGTACGCGAAGGTGAGATCATGCTTGTGCTGGGTCGTCCCGGTGCTGGTTGTACCACCTTCCTCAAGGCGATTGCAAACGACCGTGGTGCTTTTGCTGGTGTCCATGGCGAGGTCAGCTATGGTGGTCTGTCAGCCGAGGACCAGAATAAGCACTTCCGTGGAGAAGTCAACTATAACCCAGAAGACGATCAGCACTTCCCCTCTCTCACTGTCTGGCAAACTCTCAAGTTCTCCCTGATCAACAAGACCCGCAAGCATGATCGGGAAAGCATCCCCATTATTATCGATGCCCTGCTGAAGATGTTCGGTATCACTCACACTCGGAATACCCTCGTTGGCAACGAGTATGTGCGTGGTGTTTCTGGAGGTGAGCGCAAGCGTGTGAGTATTGCAGAGACCCTGGCCACCAAGTCATCAGTAGTCTGCTGGGATAACTCGACTCGCGGCCTGGATGCCAGCACCGCACTGGACTACGCCAAGTCCCTCCGCATCATGACCGATGTCAGCAAACGCACTACCTTCGTCACACTATACCAAGCCGGAGAGAGCATCTACGAGCTCATGGACAAGGTGATGGTCATTGACGAAGGTCGCATGCTCTACCAAGGTCCAGCCAACGAAGCACGACAATACTTCATTGACCTGGGCTTCTACTCCTCCCCTCAATCGACTACAGCAGACTTCCTTACTTCGCTCTGCGACCCCAATGCCCGCGAGTTCCAGCCCGGCCGTGAAGCGTCCACCCCCAAGACCGCCGAGGAACTTGAGAAAGTCTTCAAGAACAGCCAGACCTACAGCCGTATCTTGGATGATGTCAGCAGCTACGAGAAACGTCTCCATGACACCCAGCAGGAGGATACCCGCCGCTTCCAATCCATGGTCGCGCAGTCCAAGTCCAAGTCCGTCTCCAAGAAGTCGCCATATACCGTCTCTTTCGTGCGCCAGGTCATGGCTTGCGTGCAGCGCGAGTTCTGGCTCCTCTGGGGCGACAAAACCTCCCTCTACACAAAGTACTTCATCGTCATCTCCAACGCCCTCATCGTTTCGTCCTTGTTCTACGGAGAATCCCTGGATACCAGCGGCGCTTTCTCGCGCGGCGGTGCTCTGTTCTTCTCGATTCTGTTCCTTGGTTGGCTGCAACTGACTGAGCTGATGCCTGCTGTCACTGGCCGGGGCATCGTCGCCCGCCATAAGGATTACGCTTTCTACCGCCCATCTGCTGTCTCCATTGCCCGTGTCGTTGTTGACTTCCCTGCTATCTTCTGTATGGTTGTTCCGTTCACGCTTATTATGTATTTCATGTGTGGACTCGATACCACGGCCTCCAAGTTCTTCATCTACTTCCTGTTCGTGTACACGACAACCTTCTGCATCACCTCCCTCTACCGCATGTTCGCTGCTTTGTCACCGACTATCGATGACGCGGTGCGTTTCAGTGGTATTGCGCTGAACCTGCTCATTTTGTATGTCGGTTATGTTATTCCCAAGCAGACTCTCATCTCGGATTCTATCTGGTTCGGATGGCTGTTCTATGTCAACCCGATCGCGTACAGTTACGAGGCTGTTCTGACAAACGAGTTCGCCGGCCGTATCATGGAATGCAATCCATCACAGCTTATCCCACAGGGTCCTGGGATAGATCCCAAGTACCAGGGCTGTGCTCTGACTGGCTCGACATTGGGTGAAACATCTGTTACCGGATCACAGTACTTGACTGCCAACTTCGAGTTCACGCGCAGCCACCTGTGGCGCAACTTTGGTGTTGTCATTGCTTTCACTGTTCTGTACATCCTGGTGACTGTCATCGCTGCTGAGACTCTCTCGTTCGTTGGCGGTGGTGGTGGTGCTCTGGTCTTCAAAAAGTCCAAGCGCGCTAAGAAGGTCACTTCCCAGACTTACAATGCCAACGACGAAGAGAAGGTCGCCAGTGCAAACGACAATGCCGCTCTTGCTCGTGGTACGGCCTCGGCTGATGCTGATGCCACTTTCAATCGTCTGTCCTCGAGTGAGCGCTGCTTCACCTGGCAAAATGTGGAATACACTGTCCCCTACGGCAACGGAACACGCAAGCTTCTCAACGGTGTCAACGGCTACGCTAAGCCCGGCGTCATGATCGCCCTGATGGGTGCCTCTGGTGCTGGAAAGACGACTCTACTCAATACTTTGGCCCAGCGCCAGAAGATGGGTGTCGTGACTGGCGATATGCTCGTCGATGGCCACAAGCTGGGTCCTGATTTCCAGCGTGGCACAGGTTTCTGTGAGCAAATGGATCTGCACGACAATACCTCCACCATCCGTGAAGCATTCGAGTTCTCAGCCATCCTCCGCCAGCCCCGTGATGTCCCGCGCCAGGAGAAAATCGACTACGTGGACCGCATCATCGATCTTCTCGAGCTCGAGGATATCCAGGATGCCATCATCGGCTCTCTCAATGTCGAGCAGAAGAAGCGTGTCACCATTGGTGTTGAGCTCGCAGCCAAGCCCAGCCTGCTTCTGTTCCTGGACGAGCCCACCTCCGGTCTCGACAGCCAAGCCGCGTTCTCCATCGTCCGTTTCCTCAAGAAACTCTCCCAAGCCGGCCAGGCCATCGTATGCACGATCCACCAGCCCTCCTCCATGATAATCCAGCAATTCGACATGATCCTCGCCCTCAACCCCGGCGGCAACACCTTCTACTTCGGTCCCGTCGGAAAAGAAGGCTCCTCCGTAATCAAGTACTTCGGTGACCGCGGCTTCGTGTGCCCACCATCAAAGAACGTCGCCGAGTTCATCCTGGAAACAGCCGCCAAAGCAACCCACCGAAACGGCAAACTAATCGACTGGAACGAAGAATGGCGCAACTCAGACGAAAACCGCCAAATGCTCGCTGAAATCGACCTCATCCGCTCAGACCGCAGCAAACTCCCAATCGAGGAATCCGGCTCCGCCCAATACGAATTCGCAGCAACAACATCAACCCAAACCTTCCAGCTAACGAAACGTCTCTTCACAAACTACTGGCGCGACCCTTCCTACTACTACAGCAAGCTCTTCGTCTCGGTCATCATCGGCATCTTCAACGGTTTCACCTTCTACATGCTCTCAAACACTGTAGCCTCAATGCAAGACCGCATGTTCTCCGTCTTCCTAATTATCCTCATCCCCCCTATTGTCCTCAACTCCATCGTCCCGAAATTCTACATCAACCGCGCCCTCTGGGAAGCACGCGAATACCCATCCCGCATCTACGGCTGGGTCGCCTTCTGCACCGCAAACGTCGTCTGCGAGATCCCGGCTGCCATCATCTCAGGCTTGATCTACTGGCTGCTATGGTACTACCCCGTCGGCTTCCCAACAGACTCCGGAAACGCAGGCTACGTCTTCCTCATGACGATTCTCTTCTTCCTTTTCCAGGCCTCATGGGGCCAATGGGTCTGTGCATTCGCACCTTCCTTCACGGTTATCTCGAACGTCCTTCCCTTCTTCTTCGTCATGGTCAACCTCTTCAACGGTATCGTCCGTCCTTACGCCGATTACCCCGTCTTCTGGAAATACTGGATGTATTACGTCAACCCTGTCACCTGGTGGCTGCGCGGTGTTCTCTCGGCTGTTTTGCCAGAGGTCAAGATCGAATGTACCTCGCTTGAAGCTACGCATTTCAATCCCCCGCCTGGCAAAACCTGCGACGCTTATGCAGGTGACTTTGTCGACTCTGCTAAGGTCGGTTACCTGGTGAACCCCCAGGCTACCGCGGACTGCCAGTACTGTCCCTTCACGGATGGTGCGCAGTATATGGCGAATTTGAATGTTCATGTCGATGACAAGTGGAAGTGCTTTGGTATTTTCCTGGCTTTTGTTATTATTAACTGGGCTTTGGTTTATTTCTTCATTTACACTGTTCGTGTGAGAGGTTGGAGCTTTGGTCTTGCTTCGGTGTTTGGTGTGGGTGGAATGTTGATTGATCGTGTGAAGGGGTTGTTCAAGGGGAAGAAGAGTGATGAAGCTTAGAGGCTTCAAAAGTTTGGTTATTTTTTTTTAATTTTTGTTTTCGTTACAATATGCATTTACACAGAGCGTGATATCGGATATATCAGGATCAATCTTAGAAGAACACAACTACATATTATTATTGGGATTTATATTACATGATTTCAGTCTTATCTCATTGCTTTTTAGGACATAAACTGTTTTTTTTTTCGTTTGTTTTCGTTTGAATGTCATAGCATAATTGATACATAATACATGAGATGCCTCAACCTCCTTTCCATTCATTTGTTTCCATTGAATCAACCGAGCAACCCGATCCGAACTCCTCCTATCCCGAATACTCATAACAAGGATTGTGAAAATCTAGACTCCCACTGGACGCTGTAGATGTAGACGTAACCCTAGATCTGACTCTGATGCAGAGTGCAAACAAAGGCAAGTCTCAAGATTCAAGTTCAAATCAAACCCCAAAGAAGAAAGGTCTTCGGTTCTCCGCTAATGGAACAGCGGGAACTCTCATCGGGACAGGAACAGTATTGTTAAAGACCTCTGCTGGGAGAGGAGCCGAAGAAACAGTTCCCTCCGTTTCTGGTCCCTTATCTTTCTCCCCGGTCTTCTCATTGATGATAGGCACGAGCACGCCACATTCCCAGTTGCGACAATTCATCTTCAGCTGTTTGGTCTTAGGATCCTTGACGATACGGCCCCTGGTTCGTGTTAGCTTTAGCAGTACAGCGACAGGAATATGGATATGTACGCACCATGCACTCTCCGACAAATTCGCACTTCCCACATAAGCCCAACCGCGGCACTCCTTGTTGTCAGGCATATCGATCGGGGTGGAAGGGTGGACGAAGGCAAGCTTTACAAAAGAATGTTTATTAGTAACAAATCGTCATGCCCGCTGCGAAACTACTCACCTTGTTATGCATCAAGACTCCGCGCTCACTGACGCAATCTCTAAGTGTGTCACGCGGGAAATTGACACTCGACCACCAGGCTGGATTGAAGCAGATCGTGCCAATGGCGTATTTGGGGTTGTTGTGCACGCCTCGTACGGTCTCGTCTGATGGGAAGTAGATACGGAAGTGGTCAACACATTCTTTGTTGTGCGCTGTCACAAGCTCTTTGTTATTCCTGCTGGCAGTCCGGAGGTCGTATTCTAGCAGAGCATTGTCACCTGGTGGGATGGAGTTGCTTAGATTAGTTGGTCTTGGCTTTTGTGGGATGGGCACGTACCCTTGCAGGCGAGATAAATGGATCGCAGGAATGGGATGTTGATATTTCCCAACGATGATGCCTGTGTGTTGTTAGTATGCCTAGTATTATGTATGGAGGCATAGCAGATGAGGAAGCTTACAATGTAGTCGATGTTAATGGGTGCCTTTGTCTCTAGGCCGAGAGTTTTGACGGCACGACCCAAGCCACTGAATCCAGTGCGTTGCCATTTGCCTTCGGTATTGGATCCACCACTTATATTGTTAGCTGGTGGTTAAAACTTTGGTATGGTAATAGGGCAGGGGAAGGAAATGAATACATACACTGTATGAACAAATGCATAGCGCTTCGTCTCGGTGAAGTCAAACTCATCTAGCTTCTTGACAATGTTGCGGTGTAGCTCTGAAGCCTGGAGGAAGTAGACTAGTTCTTCATAGAACGGAGTCTTTCCAGCATCAGGAACTTTGAGTTTGGGCAGATCAATAAGGAACACAGTCTGGAAACTGTTAGAAAATTTAAAGACATCAGACATACATAATCACATACGTTTTCCATAAGCCTATCCTCTCCCCAGTCAGTGGAAGTGAGATTGGCAGATGGGACTGCAATGCGAAGATATCCCGGGTGGAACATCAGAAGCAGCTTAGAATGCATACAGAAGACCTGGGGCTCCATAGGTGGGAAACACAGGCGGAAATTTGGCATGTTTTTAACGTCCTGGCGATATTGTTCTCGCTGTAAAATGAAGTTAGTATGTGTCATTCGAGGTCATAGTGGGTTGCTAACCGTCTCTTCGTCGTTTGCTTGCATGACGAATATGATTCGTGTGGTCAAGTTGTTAAACTTGGAATAAAGCCATGGCATGTCCCACAGAAATGAGCTAAATACGCCCAACTCCAGGTCGTCTCGCTGGATGACTTCTTCGATTGTGATTTCGTTTCCACTGCGAGGGAAGCCAGTGATGTGCGTTTTCTTGACAGCACCAAGAGGCCACTGGGCCACTGAGCGGGAGGTAGGTTGGACGTTATTCGGGGCATTTGATGTAAGCTCTCGGCAGACTTCGGTGTGAGATCTCACTCGAGTCGTGCTCACCTGGGGAGCAGATTGAACCGGATTGCGTATAGCGATAGAGGGGCAGGCTGGCTCTGTCCTAGGGAGCTTCCGGCTAGCCTGAGATGGCGGAGTGGACGAAGAGTCGTCAGCCTTGCGCTTAGCGAGACGTGCAAGACGCTCCTCCTCCATCTGCTTCCGGTTCATGCTCAACAGCGAACCTGCCGAAGCTACAGCAACCTCATGTGGGGCAGTTGCGTGTTTGACAGGCCGTGCATTCTCGGAGTTTTTGGTCTGTTCGCTAGGCTCCATCGACATAGCAATAGCACGTTGCAACTGCTCACGCTCGTGGTCATCTTCGGTCTCAGAACTAACCACAGATCTTGACCTGGGGAACACTTCTTCAATATCCGAATCATTGCCCGAGTCATTGGTCAGATCCACAAAATTATCCCGGAACGCCTGAGATGAGGGACGCCTGTTCTGGCGAGAGGCCTCCACGGCGTCAAAATCGGGATCCACTGGTGGTTCCATCATGCAGAACCTAACAGAGACCGAACTGCAGATTTCAGAAAGAAAGATGAAGATAAAGAGATACGAAAAGATGTGGATGGCAGGTGATAATGGAATGTTTGATGTGTGGAGTAATAGGACAAGGTGAGACTGTATGCGCGGGATGTGACTAAAAGGTCTCACAGAGGCCAGCAGTCATGTATCAAGGTATCCAAGGGCTTAGAGGCCTATTACTGCCTAAATTTGCTTCTTTTCACGTTCTATTTTCAGATGTCGTTTCCGTATGGAACCCCTGTTATGTGAATAATCGCCACGTGACCGGCCATGTTGCAATATCAAGAGTATGTCCATCTCTGCTTATACGTCGTGCTTTAAATCGTATGCTCGGCCGCTTAAGGCATATATTTTCTATTCTCGTACGGGATCATTGGTCTAAAGCATTCTGTAAATTTAATATATGTAGGGACTATATAGGCCTCTCTTGCCCAATGGTTTAAGAGAAGGACAAGACCGAACTATACCACAAATACCCTACCCAATTTAACAAAATGGGAATATACAATTTAATTTTGAACACGTTATCGGCTATCCTCCGCTTTTTTAGAGATGCATGGTGATCACTTCCAATACAAAGCCCAAATTCCTAGTCACAAAAGCACACCGAAATGAACACTTCGAAGTATACCACTAACTCCGAACAAGTATGCAGTAAATATATCATTGGAATTCTTCCGAGAAAAGTAGCCAAAGCACCCGTATATATCAGAGTCACAAAAAGTAGTAGACAGCTATATGAACAGTATTCGTGGGGCAGCGCCGAGCCGTTGCCTGGTCTTGCCGGCGACAACATCCACTCCCAGCTTTGCGATTGTCGACACGATCCATCCCATCACGATCATCCACCACGCATTACCATCATCTCAACAAATGAAGAAGACCAAAAAAATCGTTCACCGCGTCCAAGCGAGGGCTTCGGCCACCCAAAAGCGCATTCGCGGGAGGCTCTCGGCCACAGGCGAGTGTATCCGAGGAAAGTTTTCGGCCATGTGCAAGTTCAACAAAGCGACAACCTCGGTGGTTCCGGACGAGTCTGATCAAGCCATTGAGCTCATCCCGACATCTCAGGAGATGCCTAATACATACATGTAGTAAGTTGACATAACCCATGGGTGCGATGCCATAAGCAAGTCCATATGATCTAACAAAGCGCCAGTTCCGATACCCCGCTTTGCTATGTCGCCCCTTTCGCCGATCTTAACTCCAAGGAAAGAAACTCGTCGTTAGGCGAGTGGAAATCGTTTGAACAAAGGTTCCACGAGGACATGGGAAGGCACCTCCCAGAGGAGATTGTGAACCGACGCAGCCCATTCCCATTTGATTGGCTCCCGCTGGATATTCGCGCCAAGATATGGAAGTATGTCTTGGGCAACACCAAGGAGGCCATATTTCTTAGAAAGGATGGTATCGCACCGAAAATCCCAACTTCCATGCGATTTGTGTCGCTCGACTTGATGTCGGAAGCTTGGTTTGCATGGATCAATTCAATGAGCAACCGGACTCTGGTGGTGGTGGACTTCCCACGGCACGCCTACCTTGGCCTACCCTGCCCAATTCTTCGAGATCTGTCGACGGTCCGCCTCCGAGCACTCAAATTCGCACTGGGCGACAAGGATGCCGAGAAGGCCACGAGGAGAAACCGGCAATTTGTGAGATTTATCTCAAAGCACAGAGATGATGGCTTCCTCGCCATTCGCACGTTGATTATTGAATTGCGAAAGAACTGGACAAGCGGTGGCTTCACCGAGGTCGACCTCGCCGGCCTTCTGAGCTGCGGGGCCTTCGCTCACATTGAGCGAATTCGCATTCACGGATGGATCAGAAGTGAGAGTTTGGACCGGCTCCTGAAGCGAGCCCAGCGGACGGCCTAGGCCTCGTTCTGATGGCAGGCCTATGGCAATTTCATAGGCATTGCAGAACCAGATCGACGATAGCGAAAAATGAATCTCTATCAGCAGTTGATTTGTCAAGTCCAAGACCAACAAGGAGTAGTCTCTTTTCACTAGGTGTTTTCATTGCAATAGCCGTAGCAATCTGACGAGCAAGTAGTTGACCCGTCGTATCTTGCCCAGGAGCATAACCACCTAGTAAAGTGGTGGTTGTTAGACTTTGAAGGGGCAAAAGAGCATCATCACCCTCACTGAGGGTGTGCATGCCCTCGGTGCCTGGGTTCTGGTTCTCCATCGGTACGTGCAACTATATACCATTAGCGATGTTTGCTGAAGTTAGATTCAAAACATACCCAGTGTCCTAATCGTCCTGCTTGTGAGATGGTGACCATAATTTTATCGCTAAAGTTCATTACCCCAACATCTGTTTGTATGCCATTGACTAACCCCGCAACCTGCTTGGTGGTGGCAGGAAATGGCAGGTTGAGAGAGTCCTGCATGGAGCTTGTATCAAAAGAGGTAGTCATGGTGAGAATAGATCTTGGTTGAAATACTGAAGAGAAGAATATAGGTTATGTAACTACAGAGTAGGTGTCTCGGAGATCGTGGACGCGCTTTAGTGAGCGGGCGGTTAGTTTCACCGCCTCGGCTCAGACTAGCAATATCAGACCGCCTTTATTTTTTTTCTTGATGAAGCAGCAGTTGGATCACAGAGCTTGCATACTCAGCCAATTATCTTTTTTTCTCAGTCGGAGTGGCTGCAGTAATTCAAGATGCCACCTAAATTCACACCACGTCTGCGAAAACAAAGACACCGGCAAAACCCAGACGGCGAGTCGGCTGATACCAATGTCGCACAGCTCGAGCCCGTCTCCAAGGATGAGAAAGAGGCACGGCGACAGAAGCTGAAGGGAGAGCTACGAGAGCAGCACCCTCAAATGTCTTCAAAGAAGCAGAAGCGCTTGGATAAATACATTGTATGTGGATAGCTGCTTTGAAATATATGGCTCTAACATTCCCGCAGGAAAACAAACTCAGGAAGGAAGAAAATATCGAATTGTTGAAGAAACTAGCCGGATCATCCGTCGACACTTCGGCTTTACAGAGCTCTAGAGATCTTTCCAACAAGCGCAAGAGACATGACGACGACTCATCTGCACGAACGGCCTTCTCCGCGCCAAAAGAAAATGCTCCCGCAGACATCTCAGGATATGATACCGACGATTCAGATATCCACCTGAAAGTGTCCGATCCCGCAACAGATCCTAATGAACAAAAGTTACGAGAAGAGGCAGCTGCCGGAAATGGACTTAAGCGACCACTAGAGCTAGGACCCGATGGATTCCCTGTTCTAAAGAAGCGGAAGCGCGCACCGAAGAAGAAGCCCACACCTGCACCAGCAAAAGCCGAGGTTGCATGGGAGGGCTTTGATTCGGGTGACGAGGATGAGGATGAAGATGAAGATGAAGAGGATATGGACGAGTCCGAAAGTGACATCGAAGAGGATGAGGACGAGGAAGATATTTCGTCCTCTGAGGGAATTTCCGAGGATGAGGATGAGGACGAGGAAGAGTCAGAGGAGTCAGAAGATGACGACGAGATGGACGATGATAAGCCAACACTCAAGACTCGCCAGTCAGCCTTCAAATCTTGGGCAGTACAGCAGATCAACGAAGCTGCAGGATTCAAACCCGCCGAGGGAGCCGTGACCGAGGAAGAGCAGGTCTTCGACCCATCCAAGTTGCCAGCAACCCACAATACCATCCGAGAAGAACCTCTCCCTCGGGAGCTTCAGGTAACTCATGGCGATCCCAATCGCAAGGCATACAGTGTCGCAGTTAACCGCACGGAGGAAATCCAAGTCGCCCGTCTTGGACTCCCTGTCGTTGGCGAAGAACAGAAAATCATGGAAGCGATTCACAACAACTCAGTTGTCGTCATTTGGGGTGCCACTGGTAGTGGAAAGACAACCCAGCTTCCCCAGTTCCTCTTCGAATCCGGCTTTGGCTCCCCAGGCAGCCCTAATCCGGGTCTAATTGGTGTCACCCAGCCTCGCCGAGTCGCGGCCGTGAGTATGGCGAACCGCGTTGCTCAGGAATTGGGTCAACATGCCGAGAAGGTGTCTTATCAGATTCGATTCGAGTCTACAGCTTCGAAGAAGACAGCCATCAAGTTCATGACTGATGGTATTCTTCTACGAGAGATTGCAGATGATTTTGCCCTTCGCAAATACTCCATCATTCTTATTGATGAGGCTCACGAGCGCAGCGTCAACACTGATATCCTGATTGGAATGGTCAGTCGTATTGTGGGCCTGCGCAAGTCTTTGAGCGAGGAGGATCCGTCTGTCAAGCCTTTGAAGGTCGTCATCATGTCGGCCACTCTCCGTATCTCGGATTTCACCGAAAACCCAAGTCTTTTCCGCAACGGTGCGCCCCCCTTAGTCCAAGCCGAGGGTCGCCAGTATCCTGTTGCAGTTCATTTCTCCCGCCGCACCCAGCGTGACTACGTTGAAGATGCGTTCCGCAAGGTTTCGCGCGGACACCGCAAACTACCTGCTGGTGGAATGCTTGTGTTCTTGACTGGTCAGAACGAAATTCGCCAGCTTTCTAAGCGACTAAAGCAGGCGTTCAAGCCTACTCAGCGGGAGGATACGACACAGGCAAAGGTGCAGCTCTCGGCTACCGAGGCACCTCTGGAAGCAGAGGACCTTGAGCTAGGCGGCACCGAGATGGAAAATCCAGGACATGATGATTACGACAGTGACATGGAGATCACCGGACTGGATGACGCAGAGGAAGACGAAGGCTTCGAACTCGCTGAAGGCGAAGAGGCCATGGACTCGTCAACCCGTGTTCACGTCTTGCCTCTATACTCTCAACTTCCCACGAAAGAGCAGATGAAGGTGTTTGAGCCAGCCCCAGAGAACTCCCGACTGATCATCCTCGCAACCAACGTCGCCGAGACATCCCTCACCATTCCCGGTATCAAGTATGTCTTTGACTGCGGTCGCGCCAAGGAGAAGCAATTTGATCTCTTCACTGGAGTCCAAAGCTTCCAGGTCGGCTGGATCAGCAAGGCCAGCGCAAACCAGCGAGCTGGTCGAGCTGGTCGAACAGGGCCTGGTCACTGTTACCGAATGTACTCCTCTGCGGTCTACGAAGGCGAGTTCGCTGAATACACCGACCCAGAGATCCTCCGCACCCCCATCGAAGGCGTTGTCCTCCAGATGAAGAGCATGGGTCTCCACAACGTGATCAACTTCCCATTCCCCACACCCCCAAGTCGCCAAGGTCTCGCAAAGGCAGAGAAACTCCTCAAGAACCTAGGTGCCCTCACAGCCGAAGGCCAAATAACCCCCATCGGCCGTCGTCTCGCAACATACCCCCTCTCCCCCCGATTCAGCAAAATGCTCCACATCGGCCACCAACACGGCTGCATGCCCTACGTGATCGCCCTAGTCGCAGCACTCGCAGTCGGCGACCTCTTCGTCCCAGAGAACCAACTCGACCCAAACCAACCCCTGCCCACAACAGCCAAGAAACAAATCGCCGACGACAGTGATAGCGACAGCGACAGACGCAAGGTCTACACAAACGCAGACCGCCTCGAAGACGACGAGCGCGAGCAACGTGTGAAATCGCACGCCCGCGCCATGCGTCTCTTCAGCAAACACGACGACACCTCCGACGCCCTAAAATCTCTCTCCGCAATGTGCGCCTACGCCTACGCCTCCGACGGCGACGCCTTCAGCGAAAAAATGTTCCTCCGTGCAAAGGCTTTCAAAGAAGCAACACAGCTCCGTCGCCAGTTAACAGACATCGTCCGCTCAAATAACCCAGGCCTAGTCCCCGCATACGAAGCACGTCTGCCAGAGCCCTCAGCAAAGCAAATCAAGGCCCTCAAGCAGATCGTCGCGGCAGGATTCATCGATCATGTCGCTATCCGCGCTGATCTCGCTCCTGTCCCGCCGGAGAACCCGCGCACCCCCCGTCGCGCCATAGACGTCCCTTACCTGACGCTCTTCCGCTCGCGGGACGGTAAGGGCCAGGATCTGGAGGAACGTGCTGTCTACGTGCATCCTTCTTCGCTGCTCGCGAAGCTCTCGCCGAAGGAAATGCCAAAGTTTATCACTTACTCGCATCTCCAGCAGTCTTCTGCTTCGCTGGTCTCGGATCAGGTGCCTAAGATTAGAATGTTCCCGCTTGTTGCGCCCAGTGCATTGCAGCTCTCGGCGATTGCGCATGATACCCCTCTTATCAAGTATGGAAAGCCAATTGGCAAGGCTGATGCCATTGAGGGCGTGCCGCCGCGCAGATCTTGCTGGGTTATTCCTGAATTGGTGGGCGATGCGGGCAGTGTTGGCTGGCCGATGCCTGCTAAGAAGGTTGTGCAGAAGAAGGACGCGAAGGAAGGTTGGGTTATTGAAAAGTTTGTGGCTTAGGTATTGGTTTTGGTGTGTTATAGATGAGGTTATGATATCCAATTGTTCATTTCTTTGCATTCGAAGATTGTACATAACATGGACAATAAAAATAAAAATAAAACTTGTTCATGCAACCCTATTTCCATGATAATCCCAACATAACCCTAACACCGATCAGCACCATTATTTGAGAAAGACATAAGTCAAAAAAAAAAAAAAAAGTCAAGACCAAATCTAATCCCTCCTCTTCTCCCGATAATCACGAGAACTAGAAATCTCCCCGGTCTCCCGATCCTCTCTCAACCCAAAAGCCCTGCGCAACCTCTCCGTCTCCTCAATCTTCGCCTCAGCAAGCTCATGAACTTGATAAGACTTAAGATTGCGCCTATCCCTCCCATTCCCAGCCCCAGCAAAAGGCTTCTTGAAGCCCGACTCCCCACGCTTCAAATCCTCCTCAAGCTCCTTCAACAACCGCTGTCGAAGAGTATCACACCGCTCATCAATCTCCTCTTCAGTAAGAACCTTCTCCCCCTCATCCGTCTCGCCATCCTCACCACCTTCTTTCTTAACTCCACTCTTCCCCTTCTTCTTATCAGTCTCTTCTTCAATCCGCTCATTCTCTTCTTCAAGTCGCTCCCGCTCTTCCATCACCTTCACCTCGATCGCGCGCTTGCGGTCGTGCTCGAGGATTTGCTTGTCCGGTACACGCTGTTTGAAGGGTCGGTCCATTGGTCCGCTGCCGTTCGCGCCGCTGATGGGTGGGTAGGGGGCGCCGTAGCCTGTGTTGCGGGGTTTGAGGAGGGCGGAGTTGCGCTGCACGTAGCCTGATGTGCCGCTGCCGCGCGGGGTTGTGAGGCCGACGTTGGAGGACATTTTGGTGGTTGGTGAGTTAATTTGGGGTGTGGTTTGAGTTGGAGGTTATTTGGTGGGATTTGAGTGGGATATTATTTGGTGTGTGGTTGTTGAAATGATTATTCTTGTAGGTTTGTAGGTTGTAGTTTTGCGGGATGGAGAGCTCGGAGCTAATCTGGATGCCGGCTGGATGTAGGTTCTTTCGGGCTCGGATTGGAAATTCAACGAAAAAGGGTGGATTAATCGACACCGTAAGTTTTTAGTCGTTGACGCGCTGAGAAATAGCGCTGATCACAAGTGTTGAGGTAGAAGTGGAAGTGGCAGATGGGGTTTGCTCCAACTCCAAAATGCGCCGCCTTATCGGGAATCACGGGATTACTGTCACGTGTGATATGACACTACATAACTATGTACATCAGGGCTTGAACTATGGTCACTGAACATGCTACGATGTATGAACGTATGGTAGAATGAAACTTAGCAATCTTAAAAGTCAAGTCATAATGCATTGATAATACAGCCACTAGCAAGATAAAGAAAAAGAGGTCCACAAGGGAAATTATCAACACGGCATGGCAACCCGGAAACAAGACGAAGTCCACAAGAGCCGGACAGCTACAACGAGCTCCCAACAGCAAGCAGATCGTACATGACGACCGAGAAGCACAGAAGCAAGGACACCTTGATGCGAAAGGAATGCCGTGGAGCTCAGGATCGAAAATCATAGCCATGGGTTGAAATATGTTGACTCGGCCAGGAATTAGAAGGAAATGTGTGGAAAGAAAGTAGTAGGTAGTTCTGGGGAGATCATGCAGATGCCATGGCACAAACTGTGCAAAGTGGATTGATTCTTTTCCTGGTATTTTCTGGATCCGAATGTGAGTGTGGAAGGTCCCGGACTCCATGCTATGGGCATATGCGCTCGGAAATCATGAAGAGCGAAATAGTAGATCCGTTCCCCCTTTCCGAGCCGGTTGCCGATTTTTTCCCCCATCACAGTCGCCTTAACCCCGTGACAAAATAAAAATAAATGGAAGAAGTGGACAAAACAAAGACGCCGGAGCCATATCGATTCTCGGACCTGGATCTCGTAGCGAGAAGCATTGACAATGATTCACAAACACAATCGTAAGAATAAATGAACATGTCAAGAAAGAAACAAGAACAAATAAGGTAAGATAAGAAATAAGTCGGTGGTCGAGATCGAGAATCGAGATCAACACAAGAAAAAAAAGAAATAAAGACATTCCAGGCCCTCATTGTTGCGCCGTCAAAGCCATGGTCAAGTAGGGGAGAATCACATAGACGTTGGTAACATATATCCCGCCTGATTCCCCTGTATGTATACGCCCCGTATTAGATAGAGAACAAGAAGTCACTCGGCTCAGATCAAATCAGGATTAGAAAGATTATGTTAGGCGAGCAAGATAAAGTGTGCAACGAATTAGTGAGCACTAGTGACATCGACCGGGACGGTAACACCGGTGTTGCCTGTCTCGGGACTCGAAACCGAAGTCACAGTGCTCTTAGCAAGGCCCTTCGACTCAAGGGTGGAGTCGACGGTGGTCTGGGCGTCCGTCGGAGGAGGGGTGGGTGGCGCGTTACCCACGAAAGGGGCCCGGGGCTGCTCGGTGGTGATTGAGCGCTTGGCGGGTTGGGGAGAGGATTTGTGGGAGTGAGGGGGAGTGGTCGAGGTGGTGTGAGGCAGAGGGCAAGTCGCAGGAGAGTTAGGGTCAAAAATGAGCTTCTCGATAGCGACAATCTGCTTGCCATAGCTGAACTTCTTCAGTTGGCTTAGAAGGGGCTTGATCTGATCGATGAGGGCTTCACGCTCGGCATCTTTCAATTGGCCCAGCACCTTCTCTGTTGGGGGTTAGTATAGTAAACAACGAGTTATGGAGTTGGACTTACGAATGACATAGTTGCCATACTGATCACGCATGAGACCAAGGAGAGGGCTCTCGCCGCGGTCGTTGGTAGATGTTAGGGTGCTGATGATGTGGATACGCTCATGTTCCGCACCAAACTCAATGCTCTTCTCAACCACGTTGCTAGCAAACTTGTGCTTGGAGTAGGCGAGGAGCTGTCCCATAACAATGTCGATCATGCGAGTGCGGTCCTTCTCGTCACCGTTCTCAATAACGTGCTGGATGACATAGTTGCCGAACTGGTCAGGGATCAGATTAGAAGTGCAGGCATGAAGCTCAGCTAGAATGGACTGCCGGTCAACCTCCTCACAGTGCTCAAGCATTCTCTGAATAACACGGCAACCATAAGGATGGGCGGCGAGTCTGTTGACCTGACCGCGGAAGGCATTGATAATGAACTGCACGTATTCCGAAGGAACACGCTCAATGGCCTTCTGGATGACGTGGTTGCCGTTCTGATCACGAACACACTTGAGGACATGGTTTTCGAGTTCCTTGACCATCACAGCTTGCTGGTCAGTCAGAATGTGCTCCAGGGCCTTCTGGACTACTCGACATCCATACATCTGGGTCGACAGGGCCAGGACGTGTCCGCGCATCTGGTTGGCCAGGATCTTCTTTTGGGTCTGGTTGCCGTGCTCGAACAACTTCTGCACGACGTAGTTACCGAAGACATCAGTCATCAACTGAAGACAGTTCGGCTGGATCTCACGGAACACCTGCTCTTTCTCGTCGCTGTTGGCGGTCTCAAGCTTCTGTTGAATGAAGCGAGAGCCGTGCTGGTCACCACTAAACTCAACCACATGGTTGTAAATGTCCTTCAGCTCGTAGCGCTTGTTTCCCTTGCTGTTGGCCCGGAACTCTTCTAGGAGGGGACTGCGAACAACCTGGGTAGGATCATGCTCGCGCTGAGTACGCGACACCAGAGCAGCGGCACCGAGGCCATTGAGATGACCCACGGGGTAGAAGCCGGAGAGAGCGTTCAAACGAGAAGCCTGGTAAGCTTGGAAATCGTAAGAAGGAGGGTACTGCATCCGCGAGGAACCTTGGGCGAGTTCCTGCTCCTGGAAGTTTCGTAGTCTGCGTTCAAAGGCTGCGACTTGGCTTTCGTTCGCACCTGTGTTGCGGTATTGGCCGGCGGCCCCGTCGACTCCGGCGTAGATGGGGCTATCTATGCGGGCATAGTCCGAGGGTGAGATGGAGCCGGTGTTCGCAGCCCTGGAGCGTGCCTGGTACGCGAGCTGCATCTCCTGTGCAGCTTCTGCGGTGTATCCAAGTGCTTGGTAAGCTTCTTCGTTGTTCTGATACTTCCCGCGCTGGAAGGTACCATCAAAGGATGCATGAGGAACGAACGAGGGCCGCTGAGCTGCTTGGGACGCATAGTTGGCTTCGTTGAGCTGCAGCTTGTGGAACCCAGCGTTGAGGTCCATCGAGCCACCGCTGTAGCGGCCATCGATGCTGTGATTGTCGGAGTAGAAGGAAGGATGAGCGGAATGAGCAGGACGTTGAGTAGCGTAAGAGGCGGAGTTGTGGGAGGCGTGAGATAGTGCGCTGCGACCCTGGGGCGGAGACACATGCTCGGCAATTCCAGATCCCAATGACGACATGCCCATTGAAGCACCCATGCCATCTCCGCTTGCCCCATCGAGAGGATTCGAGAAGCCAGGCTTCACAGGGAAAGTCGCTCCCACAGGGCTGCCACCGAGACCGGTAGTGTTGATCTGGCGTCGACCGGCAAAACCACCGAAGGTGATGCCCTCTGCAGAGGGAGACACACCCTCTGACCCAGCGTTGAGGTAGGGTCGGTGGCTCGCGGTTCCAGCAGCGGTGTTGATGCCAGTGGTGCGGGGTAGGGCAAAGTAAGAGCTATCACTAGTTTCGTTGATAGCGGGAGCACTGCGGTCATTGGCACGCGCCTGGGTGGGGGATGTAGCGAGGCCTCTATTCTGGAAGGCGGGGTTGGTGTTGACAGTACTCCATGGCAGGTTGGCACGTCCCGACCAGCCATCCGACTCCGATGTAGAGAGGAGGGAACCCGATCCGGACTTCCCTTCGAATGCAGTCTCGCTCAGATGTTGATCTGCAAGCTGCGTCAGCGTAGCCCACTTCGCAATTGGTACAGGATAACTCACCATCGCCGAATCCTCCTAGGTTGGAGTCACCCCAGATGTTGTTCTTCCAGCTAGCCTTGCTAGCACCGAAACCCTTACCGACACTGTTGCCTTGTGATCCGCGGGTGCGGTCATTCATTCCGGTGGAATTCATGTTGGAAGCCCGGTTTGATCGTGCCTGAATTTGCTGTTATTATCGACATTCCATTGATCGCCATCGTCCCACTCACGTTGTGTACGCTGGTTGCATTTGCGGCCATGGTAGAAGCCATCCCAGTAAATCTCCGATCGGTAGAAAAGTAATCCGATATGTACTCGAACGGCGAAGATTATTTTGTAGGTGGTTCGGAGAGGTTGTCTCGTGGTAATAAATCACAGAGAGACGATCAGCCGATGCTGTGTCGACTAGTATTTGCAAACGGGCACCAGGCACCAGAGACGGCGTACACGAAGGAATATAAGACTGCGATGAGAATCCCGTGTTAGCAGGGTTTGGGGCCATATTGGGCGATGTTGCATTGGGAAGCCAGGTTCGGAGAAAGGTACAAGGGTAGGGTATCCAAGTGTCTTGAAAGGAACTCACCAAAGGAGGGGATAGAAGGGATCACAAGAAAGAGCGAAATGAAGAAAATGAACGTTGTCTTCTGTATTGCTCAGAGGCGAACCCAGGACATGTACAGATTATACAACAAGAGAGGAAGGGAGACGGAAGGGAGGAAGAGCGAACTCTGAATGAGGCGAGAAATGCTGAGTGTGGCAGGAAGGCCGATCGAGCTTGACAGCGATAGAAGATGCAAGGTGACAAAGAATTGGAACGATTATTATCACCCTTTCGTTTGCTGCAGTGGGGTTTTGGAAAGTTGGTAGCCGGAGGGTTCAGAATTGAGGAGGCGCCGCGACGTTACTCTGCTCCGTGCATGCTCCAGGAATCTCCCAGTTGCAGATCGTCCTCATGTGCCTTGTGGAGAGGCGATCCCCGAGA